ATATATATATATACTATGCGGATAAATGTCAATGTATTTATTTTGGTAAAATTCTTGGAAGTATTCGCACAGTGTTTGAAGAAAATTTTCGAATGTCGCTGCTTTACGAACGAGCTTTCGAAAGGGAACGTGAAAAGTTACCCTCAGAAGACGAAGAATCTCGTTCGTTGGATGTCGGCGGACCGCGCACGGATGAATAGAGTTCCTGGAGGTCCAACGGCGAGATCGATGGAGCCACGTCCAATCTGTCGGTGTACTATCCGAGTTACTTCCCGCGTATATACTCCGTACGTTACTCGCGGCGTATCCCACTTGCGGCTTGGGATGACGATAAGTTCCGCCGGCTTCAATTTCCCGATGAGAGGTGGAGCGCGACCGTTCTACCGCATACACGCGGTACGATAAGTAACGGAACGTCGTCCCGGAAATGGGTCTTGCTCTGGAACGGCGGAGCACGTCTCGGTTTTTGGTAACGCTCGAACCTCGTTAAATCTCGGTCGAGGTTAGCAAACGAGAATACTAGCAAACGTTGGAATTTGACTATGTTATTTTTACAGTCGCTTGTCCTTTAATCAGCAGCTGGGCGTGAAAGCGGCCCGTGCGTTTGAAAGGGTGCAACGCTTTGTTAGCTGGCCGAAGCTGGACGTATGTATAAGGGCTGAGTCATACTTTCCTTTCATAAAACGTAAGCACTGCGCGTGGCTAATATTTCTCTTAAGAGAAGCACCACAGACTCGCTCGTTTAATGACGTTTTCCTTAGAATCCTCGGAATCTAATTTAGTCCTTAGAATTTAGTTCTCCTTATTAGTTAGAATCTAATAAACTGAAGTTACACGTATTTACTCTCATTGTATAATGTATTTATAACTGAACTGTGAATATTTTTTTCATAGTCATCCAATTTTTTTTTAAAGTAAAACTTAATCTTTATGGGAAATCCTAATGAACTCTATACTGGAGCGCACTTTTTCTATAATAAAATATAGAAAATTGCGAACCGATGAAGAAAAGTAAAGCAAACAAATACTTGTTTTTCTGACTCTTTCCTACTTATGGTAATAAAACAATATTAGCCGATCAATGAATCCCTGACAAAGAAAACAGTACAATCATTGCATCAGAGAGCTATTGTCTAGGAATTGAGATACACCCACTTCTTGATGGCTCTGTCCAGTATATTCCAGAGCTGGAAAAGTCTGTATAATGGCACTAAAATAGTGTTATATTTTGGAAAAGGATATAATGACATATAATGAATAATAATCAATTTAAAAATTTAAATCAAAGAAAAGTTATAAAATTTTAAAAATAAAAATCCCCGTTCTTTAAAGACTAAATATACGCTATATTTATGTATAATAATTATGAGAAGCTTCAAGTGTTTTAGAAATAATTTTTACTTGAGAATTTTCATAAAAGTTTGCAAATAGGACTAGTGTTTCAGACATCTCTTCGTTTTCCAATCAATGAAAATCTCGCATATGTATTCTGAGTCGCGTTGTAGCTGCAAATCGAGTAAGCTCCGAGTGAGAGAGGAAATGCCTCGTTTGAACGAGACACGCGACACAAACTACGGAAGAGACGATGTCGTCAACGTCAGTTGTACGTGCGGAATTCTAATTCGCTATGCTCGATTTACAAAACTTCGCGCACGATTTTGCGTCAACGATCCTACATTCCGCTTTGTGTGGCGTAATGTATATACATTGTCAAATCTGATACTTTTTCCGATTCAAATAAGTCAAAGCGTGACAATCCTTTAACATGATCAAAATTTATGTAAAAGGAAATGTAAATTGTCTGAAATTCACAGAAAATAGGATTTGAAGAATTTTTACGTCATTTCAAGATGTTTTCAAGTGTTATAACTTTTATTATAACAAGATGACAAAAAAGTTTGGCCACATAGTTTTGTGTTTATCAAATCATTAGTAATGCACATTTATAAAAAAAAAAAACAAATTGTGGGCCGACTGTTATATTTAATTAAATTAGATTAATTAGATCAATAAATATTATATTTGATTAATTAGATTAATTTGATTATATTTTATTAAATATAAAAAATTATAATTAACATTCGAAATATCCACCTTTAACTTTGATACAATGGGCGAATCCAAATCGGCAAAGGCAAGTGTGCTTGTCGAGCATGATTGGTTCTTACCTGTATCTGTTGGTTCTATCCTGTGGATCCAACTAATTATATTTAATTGCTCGGCGAGCAGACCTAGTCGCTTTGTTGACTTGAACTCACCTAATCTTTAAGATCCTTTAAGATTGCATCAATGATGACCATGCATCTTTTACGAATAAATTTTCCTAGACAATAGATCAGTTTTCAGTTCATCGATAAAAATCTTTTTTGGTGTAAGTTCTTTTATTTCTATTTATCTCTTTAAGGACCAGAGCTTTCTAACAAAATAACTTATAAATGATTTTACTTTTTAAAGATCTTTGGAATCGAATTCGATTCTGGTGTCAGAATTTTTCAAATTAAAAAAAAAATATTAAAATAATACTAATGGTTGTGAATAATATAACAATAAATAATATAAAAATAATACTAATTAATTGTGAAACTCGGATTTAGGAGGTTCTTGCTATCTCTGAGTTTGAATGTTGCTCGAAAATATCAAATTTCAATAGAATAGTAACCTCCATGAAAGACGATCTAGTGTCACAGAGTGACTAGTCGTCTTAATCAGTGTGTGTGAAAGTCAATTTGAAAATCAGTAACTATTCAGTACTATACAGTATTAACTGATCAGTATTAATTTACGGAGCATTAATAAGCAAAACTGAAAACTTGTCATATGTATATTTCGCAATTAAAAATTTCCTAAAATCAACTTTTATGATAATCAAATTATTTTTTTTTAATTATTTATTTTTAATAATTATTAAATTATTTTTCGTCGTATTAAATGTAGCATTTTGAATTTTTTTATTTTTGACCTCAGATTTGAATAAAGCATTAATTATAAAACATTTCTCTATAGATCAAGTTTTATCAAAATTGAGCGAATAATTTATAAAATGAAAAGAAGTAATCTCGAACGATGTCTACAAAAGGATAATAAGTAATATAATTAATAGTTAGGAATTTTTATAAATATATGTTATACTACCCCGTGACAAACTGATGTCAACTATCATTGATATTAAAATTTTTGGCGTTAATTAATAGTGTTAGCTTGCTACCTACTTGAAATAATTTGATAAATACACAAAACTTTTTCATACAAATTGTTGTGTCACCGTGTATATTGCCTTTTAAAATAAATTTTATTCAGAGTGTATTACTTACCTGATTACGTTCGATTATCAATCAGATTAAACTTCTAAAATTAGTACTGTGAGGCATACAAAGAGACAAGACCAGTTCTTGTAAAACGCATATTGTATATTACGTGATTTCGTTTTCCTCACGATAAAACGTTAGGTTCGACTTAAATTTATATATTATAGCGCAATTTCTCTCTCTCTCTCTCTTTTTCTTTCTCACATGTACACAGCAGACACACTTTCATAGCATAAAGATTTGGTTGGCTGCATGAAAGACAAGCGTACCTTCATCACTGTGCAACACATATTCAGATGATTTACGCAAGCCATGTTTTAAATTTTGCTATTGAGATAATATAATTACGAAACACAAAAATTATGAAATTATGAAAACGTATTTGTCTCCATATACGATAAAAAACATATCATCTGAATATGTATCTTGGCGACTTTATAATTTATACAAACGTACAATATGTTAACACCCTGTCACAAAGAACGGGCACCGATATTGATAAGCAGACGCAGTCGATATACTGTCTGCTTTAATCATTCTCTCTTTAGTATATTTCATTAAAAGTTACTGTAGATTAATTTAATTTACAGCTCGTATAATATATGTATGCATCCATATCATATTATTATTATAATTAACAATGATAATTCATCATAATAATCAAAATAATCTCGAAATATTCAACAAACCTTATCAATAGGCAACAGTCTCCGATAGACCGATAACCAATGTTGTCGACGAGATGCCTTTTAATTATCAATAATAAAATAATATTCGATAAAACGATGGAAGCTCCCGTTAATTGAAAAATTTGCGAGTCTCGTGTGAATCCTCACAC